GCTGCTTTGTGGGAAGGGAAGATGTGGCAGGAAGAGCAGCACGTTTTGGTGAATCCTCGGTCGCCTTCCTCTCAACGATTGCCCGAACTATGTTTGTCTTCATTGTTGCATTAACTTGTGGATCGAAGAGTGCAAGACCCACCAAGCCTTCACTGAGGTACCACAGGTGACGACCGAAGACTGTGAGACATGTTCTTGATATTTTGACGTCGTGGTACTCTGACAGGTCTTGGAGGAGCCGCAAATCATTAGCAGGAGCGGAGGATGGAACGGAGGCCGTGAACCATGCACTGACATACACCTCTAGCACAAAGAATGTGAATCGTTTCAAGCCTAATGTCTCACGAGCAGTTAGTTTAAACTGATTAGCAAAAATCAGGATCTTCATGACATAAATGAGCTTAGCCATCCACCGTGCTCGGTGAAGTGCTCCGGGCCGTCGGAGATTAAACTTGGGTAGAGCTCCATCGAGACACCTGATTGCTAGCTCCAGTACCTCACGGTAATCATCACGTGGCTGCTGCTTCTTGCCCAGATGATGTTTCCAGCAACAGATGAGGTCATCTCGTTTCTCGTACAAACTTGGAGGGAGGTCTGAGAGAGGGCTGTAGTCATCTTGACTGATGTCCTTCCACTTATGCTTGAAGCGAGAGAAGAGAGTATTATCTGGTCCAGAGGAAGGCCCCATGCATTCCACATATGCTTTCTCGGCAACAAGCTCAAGGATGTGGTGACGACACGCGAGATGCAGAAGACGGCGGCCGAGTTTCTGCTCCAGAATGACACATGCCCCCGACAAGTGCCCAGTGTTTGAAGCTGTTGTGTCAAAACTGAGTGCTGAAACATTCTCTGATATTTTCCACTCTTCCAGCGTCACGTCTCACACACAACTGATGCTACTGTACCAGTCAGACACTGGCACACAACCTCTTCCCCCTACCCCGACTGACACCCGCCTCTCCCTCCCCTCTGCATTGCCAATAGCTGCACCAGCCAAAATACTCATTACTCATTTTTAGAAAAAATGTTAGGAACAACTTTAGTTTGAATTTGCATTCTACATATACCTGCAAAGTTTCATAGTAATCGGTTCATAAATAAAGAAATTAGAAAAAATCAATAATAATTTCAGTAGTGTTAACTTCAAATGGCTTGAGCCACCTCTAAATATTGTCCAAATGACCCAGGATTTCGCCTGTGTTCTTTTTTCATGGGTACGCAGTATTGGACAAATGGCCATCTAAAAATAAAAACTTTCACTTTTTATTGTCACCCTACCCTCACTCACCCAACCGCTGTACCAGCCTCCCAAAGCCCACAAGAACCCCATCCCCACGGAGAGGGAACCAGCCACTGCCCCCACTCTAGCTATCGCCTGTGGAGTAACCTCCTGCCTGTCAACTCGGGTACTTTACGTCCACCATCTGCATTGGGAAACAACAACCCACATAACCAAGTGACAGGCGCCCCTCCCACCCAAGCTGGGAGCCACCCTCACCAGCACCAGTCACATTCTTATTTCTGTTGGTTGTAGCACGTGTGAGTACGTACCCCCCTCGATTATAACTTTCTTTGACCTTCCCTTTTCACATCTCACTGACCCTGAGATTTTACTGTTCCTTAATCAGTATCAATATTCCTACAATAATGATGCTAATGATGTACTGGACCGTATGTGTTACACCCCTTCACCCATGGTGTTGACACAATACTCCCTCAAATTGACCCTCATGCCTAGCCACAAAACTCACTGGATTACAACAACCCCAACTGTTACTATTACTTTCCTGACTTTCCTGAGTTTAGCTCTAACCTTTTGCTATCTCATTCCTCTCTCATTAACCCTTCACTTTTTAGATCAGTGTAAATCTTCTATTGCCCGCAAATTTGATGTAATTGGGTTCTGTGAGACCAAAGTCATTAACGATATTGTACATTTGTATAACATCCCTAATTATATTAGACACTGCGTCAATACGTCACGACACAGTAGTCGTGTAGAGCTATATGTTGATATAGAGTATAACACTTCTGTAAGAGATGATTTAAAGGTTAAGGAGGAGTTCATGGAGAGTGTTTTCACTGAATTACGTAACGACACATGAAAGATCCTAGTATGAGTAATCTACAGAAAACTCCACACTAATGTAAGAAACTTTCTTGATAAATTATGAAAGCTTAGCTCTATCATAAGTTTAGAGAGGAAAATTTGCTACATTACAGGATATTTCAACCTTGATCTACTAAAATTAGAGACGGGCACCTCAGTAATAGACCTTCTTGCTACCTGTCATTCTAAGCTCTTCTTCAACACTATAAACAAACCCACTAGAGTAGCAGCCACCTCTGCCACTGTGATAGATCAAATGTGGACTAACAACGCTCCTAACAATCTTGCAAGTGGAATTATTTTTAACAATATCTCAGATCACTTCCCAGTTTTTTCTATATATAAAACAACCAAACTATCTGAAAAGTCTAGTAAAGTCACAATAAAATACAGAGACTACTGCACCGACAATATACTCCTGTTCAAACACAACTCAATGGAAGCTGAGTGGGATCTTGTCTATGCCTCCGACAACCCGAACATGAACAGCTGCAACTTCTCTTGCATCTTCAATGCTTGCTTTGATAAATGCTTCCCCCTCAAGACTAAGTTAGTAAAAACTGTATCCATCTCCAAACCTACATTACAAGTGAAATCAGGGCAATGATAAAAGAAAAACACAAACTGCAAAGAAAATTTGCAAAAAGACCCATAACTTTCTGTGATGCTTACCGAAATGTCAGAAACAGAGTAACTCAAGCAGTTAGAAATGCCAGACGTAGCTATTATACAAATAAGCTGCAGTCAGTATTGGGCAACAGTAAGAAAACCTCAAGTTACATCAATTCTATTCAGAACAGGAACACTCAACTTTCGGCCCCCCACTCAGCTTTTATGATAAATGATAGAGTTGTAACGGAACTCTCCCTGATTACCAACCACCTAAACGATTAATTTTTCAATGTTGCCAAAAATCTTGCAGAGAGCATCCCTAATCACAATGAGGAATTTAGAGCCTACCTTCAAAACAAACATCAAAATGATTCTTCTTATCCCCTGTCACGGCAGATGAATGAATTATTGACCAAAGATGCAGCAGCAGGCGACGACAATATACAAATGAGCATCTTTAAGAAAATAGCCCACATATTACTACCTGTTCTCCTCACATTTGTAACTCCTCCTTAACCAGGGGTGTCTTTCCGAATAAACTGAAAATTGCCAAAGTTCACCCAACATATAAAAAAATGGGGTTAAAAGTCTATTCAAGAATTACCGCCCCATATCAGTCCTCCCAGCTTTAACCAAGATACTGGAGAAGCTAGCATGTAGTAGACTAAATTCCTCTTGCAGTGTCAACAACGTCCTTGCAGACTGTCAGTTTGAATGAAGAGCAAGAAGGTCAACTGAGAGTGCTTTGCTAATCTTTGCTAATGACATCATAAACTTCTTTGGTGACAGTCAGTTCACAGTCGGTATATTCCTGGACCTCTCTAAAGCATTTAATAATGTCGATCATACCATTCTCTTGTCAAAGTTTGAACAATATGGCGTTAGGAGCTTATTAAACAATTGGTTTACCTCGTCTCTGTCTAACAGGAAGCAGCATTTCTGCTTCAATAATCATCAATGTGACTCATCACCAATCTTGTATGGCGTCCCTCAAGGCTCCATTTTCGGTCCTGTACTGTTCTTGGTGTACATAAATGATATAGTCCACTCCAGTACACCCATAAAATACAACTTCTTTGCAAACGATAGTAATCTCTGTGCCAGCAACTCAGTTCTCTATTCCTTGATGATAACTATAAATAATGAATATACCTGGCAAATATGTAATAAGCTAACCTTAAACCTCGAAAAACTCCTGATTTGGACCCCCTGTACTTTGGAAATGCAGTCTTCAAACGTGAACAAAATACTAAATTCCTTGGGGTTATTGTTGATGATAAACTAAGCTGGAGAAATCCCATACAAGCCATTCACAGTAAAGTCAATAAACAGTGTGGTATTTTGTATCACACTCGTTAGTCATTCACTCTTGCAGCAATGAAAGAGATCTACTATTGATCTTGTTTACCAATACTTGATACAAGGTCACACACTTTAGGGGGCCTCTGACTCCACAAAAACACAACCCCTGACCTACTTGAAAAAAAAATCACACTGACTAACAATTTGCTAAATTGAACATGTTAAAATTCGAGGATATTAACACTTACTGCTGTGCCCTCTTTGTTTATAAATCCGTCAATCACTTGATTGCCAATAATTATTTATAGAGATACAACTTAAGACACCCAGAGCTACTAAGACCACGTTCTCCTCTTAGTCCCAAACCTCTATAAAATATCATGGTGTGAAGGTGTGGAACAACTTGCCCCACCTATCTGAGCAAAGCCTATGCTTCCTGTCTTTAAATTATCTCTTAAAAATATATATTTTCTAAGTATTAATATTTTGGGGTAAACCTACTTTTATTGTACCACCAAAACCATTGTAACCATTATATCATATAATGTCATGGAGATACATAGAAATTACCATTGCAATAATTATGTACGTGCAGTCAAGACATGATACTGACTGTTTCTGTCCTCCAGTTCATCTTAATACAACCCATGTTGCCTTGCTTCCCTCCCTTATCATATTAATGTATATCATCTCCACTGTAAAATATGTATGAATTTATAATTTAAAAGTAAAAAAAAAGAAAGAAGAATGTAATAATAAATAAATAAATAACGAAGTTATTCCAGATGATACTAAATGTTACCTAATACTTCCTTGAGATAAATGTACGATATACAATATATCAGGTGCCTTTAAAAGAGCTCAGGATCTCAGTTGGCTCAAACATGTCAATATTGTTATTATTATCGACTCTGTATCTGTATTTTCCTGGCCAAATAAACTGTTTAAATATCAATATCAATAGTAGCACGGTTTATCACTCGATTGTAGCGAAGCATTCTTCTGAAATTATATTCTCTTCAAACAGTTCTTCAAATGGAGGTGTCACATCATCAAAGATCTTCGACACATACCGTGCATTTTCCTTGCTAATGCCTGCAAACGAGGAGACAGTATCACAGCTACTATAGGCATGGAAAATACCAAGGGTTCTTGATCTTTATGAACTCATGTCCCATCGATCAATCTTATAACTGACGCTAAAGAAAACTATACCCAGCGCCTTGCGTTTGGGCATTGAAAGGCTTCTCTTTTGTGAGTCTGGCAGAAAGCATTTTGTCACGTCATTTTCTTCAATGGATGTAAATGGCACAATTTCAGAGAGATAAACAAGTATCATACGTTTAGCTACAGTACTCCAACCACAACCTGCACTATACTACAGTACAGCTAAGTGTTAACATGCACCACCAGCATCCAATTAAAGTTGAAAACACATGCACCTGGAAATTAAAATCAATTATTTTTATAGTAATAATGTGTATATTGCAAACATAAATACTAATTCGTATAATGATATGATTATTGTAAGAAGGTACTAAAAACTATTATTGAAATATGAACTCATTATTTTATTATTTTACATTGTTTTTGAATTGTTAAATCTGCAGTCCTGGTTTGCAGGATTACAGATTTTATAAAAAAGTAAGTTTCACTGACTTTATTTTAATATAAAAATAAATGAAACAACATATATGAAATGTCATACAATATCTAAGCCTTCTGTGTCAAATCTTTATTTGGGTAGCCATATTGGAAAATGGCTACCATCTCTAAACTAGGCTATCTTCAGAGTAGCTCCATATAAAAAAATGAGTCCAATATAGTCATCTACAACTCCTAAAAATTTCATTTTTTTTTATTCTGATGTTTTTCTCATATATCTGCCTCTTTGGCAGTGAGGATATTAAAGGGCATTTACACGTCAGTGGTGCTCCTAGATGGTCTGAAACCAACATTGAGACTCTGGGAGGAAATTTTCTGCCTCAGATAGTTGTCTAAGGGGAACTCGAGTGAAAATCTTACCACTTACGGAAAGGAGCAAAATCCAGTAGTTGCCACAGTCTGAATAGTCTCTCTTGTTCTTAAAGATATTGACTATAGTAGCGTCTTTAAGATCTTGGAGGATTCCCCCTGTTCCCATTTATTCTCCAGGAGAGAGTGGAGGCAACTGGTCAAGCAAGGGTCCTCCTGCTTTATAACACCTCAACTGGGAATCCACCAAGTCCTGTGGCTTTTTTTTTCATCTGCTTGATGGCGTTAGCTACCTCACCATGGATTGGGGGATAATCGAGGTGGGCTTGCTTTGAGAGCTAAAAGAGTTGCTGTGTAGACAGGCCATCCATATCGGTGTTTCGAATGAGCAGGGAATGGTAGTGTTTTTTCCAACATTGAAGGCTGCCTTCTTCGTTTCTAATTAGGGAGTTAACGTCGGATGAGCGGAGGGGAGCAGTGATGTTTGTAGTTGGGCCATAGATTGCTTTGGTGATATTGAAAAATTCGTGCATCTGGTGTTGATCCGAAATGTTTTCCGATCACTGTAATATTTTAGTCTATCATTCGCTCTTCATTTCCCGAAGCTTACGCTGGAGCACGTTTACCAAACTGCAAACTACAGTACTAAGAGAGAAACATGTGGTTGGCGAAAGACAAGAATATCAATACCAAAAATTCCTTGAAGAAAGGCAACAAGGCGGTAAAATACTTCAAAGTAAACCAATATAGAAAGAATGTAAAAAAAAAGACTAAAGAGGAAAGGGCATAGGAGTGCACTTCACAAGTAACGATTGGTGTGTTAGATGACCAGCACTCTAGCGCCCACCATAAAAACACACCGTCGGTCACCGAATAAATTAGTAATTTTTAAATTATTTGGGGAAATGGCTAATGGTAACTATAGAAATCATTGCTATTGTTAAGGTGGGGTAAATAAGCGAAAATTTGGAGGGTTGAAAATATAGCCTTCTTTTGAATTTAGATGAATGGTAACAGGTTTCCACAATGAGTGGAAGTTTGGAGATGAAACGATATCCTAAAGAGTTTAAATAGAACTACAGAAAACTCTATATGAACAAATTTGAGAACAAGTGGGAGTATCCCATTTTGGCCTGATGCTTATTTTTTTTTAATTTCCATTATATATATATATATATATATATATATATATATATATATATATATATATATATATATATATATATATATATATATATATATATATATATATATATATATATGCAAGCAAATCACTGTAGGTGCGCGTGATCTAGGTATATGCTGATAACCACAAGGAAAGAAGAAAACACGAAGTTCCCAAGCGCTTTCGTGTAATTCACATCTTCAGGGGTGAGTACAGACTAGAGAGAGTAATACAAATCAAGGTGTATATATACAGAGGAGGGTGAGACCAGGTCCACAATGGTCAGGTATTAGGTAATGACCCTACTAATCTTTAAATAGCACACAACGGTTGGTGGTCAGGTCAGATGGTCAGGTGACCCGGCCTTCTCACCTGATCACAAATCTTCTTAATTACAAAATTGTCCAGCTTGTACATGCCGTTACTCAAATTCATGTTGAATGCTTCGGTATGTTTAATAAGACTAGATTCTATGATGTTCCTACTATCAATTGAATTACATGGTAATATTGAGGAGGCATTATCCCAGTCAATGCAATGCTTGTTATCCCTCAAATGAACAAACAGAGCATTGGATTCCTGGCCTGTCCTAACACTGTATTTGTGTTGTTTAATTCTAGTTGCAAGATCTTTACCTGTCTGGCCTAAGTAAAACATATTACATTCCTTGCAAGGAACTTTATAAATGCAACCAATTGTGTTGTTGGGGGAGTTCTTGAAAGAGAAATAAATGAATCCCTTCCATTTCTTGATATGCTTATCATGAGAAATGGCCAAAACTATAAATTTAAGGTATATAGAAAGCCCACAGGGGTAGACAGTTTCATTCACTTTTTATCGAATCACCTTGAGTTTACCAAAATGTCAGTTTTTTCTGCTATGTTCTTAAGATGTCTGCGTATTTGTGACTCTGAATTTATTGACGATGAATTGAAACACATTCGTTCTATTGCACAGAAACTCGGGTACCCTTCTGTGTTTGTTGATCGTTGTTTTAAAAGGGCTAAAAAATCCTTTCATTCCTCTCAAACCAGACAAGTTCCTACACTTAAGAATATTTTGACTCTGCCCTATCGTAATGAATTTGTCCCGTTAGTTCGGTCCCTCAAGCTTCTAAATATTAATGTTGTTTTCAAGTATGACTCAACCATTACCAATATGTTAATAAGGAATAGCCCAAGTTTGAATGTAAATGGAAGTGTTTATTGTATTCCATGTAGCAAATGTAATTGTAATTATGTAGGTCAGACAGGAAAAACACTGCAGCTCAGAATCAAACAACATAAGTATAATATCAGAACTGCATCTGAAAGCAGTGCCTTGTTCGTTCATGTTAGGAATAATAATCACCCCATTGCTTGGGAAAAAAGCTTAGAAGTATTCAAATCATCTTGTGTCACAGAAAGACTTCTGGTTGAAGCTAGTTTGATTAAGGAATTAAAATCAATAAACCTTAGTGATGGTCAGTTCAAAACTGATAATATGTTACATAAATTTATTTGTCAGTGGCCCAAGGTTAAAAATGCTTTGAAAACCTTTGATCTAGATGTATGATAGTTATTTTGTGGGTTCCCTTTTTTCTGACCTGACCTGGCTAGTCACGTCACCACCCTTCTCTTAAGCTCCTCTACGTGTGTGTTGGTGTGGGGATTAGTGGATGTCATCATTTTGACCTGACCTGATGTTTTTAGGTCACCCTGTATATTTAAGCCTCTCTCTGTCCATGTAATCCAGTTGCCTCTGAAGATGTCTTGAATATATTCCTCTTGACTAAGTTGGGTTTCTTTAATCACTAACGTTTCAGAAAATCATTTTCCATTATCATAGCCTAGAAAACAAACACAAAAATTAAAAAATTTCAGGTGACATACATTAAAAACAGAACATTTTCTTGTGAATTAGAAACTTACAATATTCTACCATTCCTTGATGTTAATATCCACCGTCTTCAAAACAGTTTCGAGACAGCCTTACACAGAAAACCAACATTCACTGGTTTGAGTTCAAAATTTTCATCTTTCATTCCTCTTAATTACAAACGAAATCTAGTACGTACTCTTACCAATAGAGCCTTTAATATATGTTCAAGCTATTTCCACTTGGACATTGAACTGAAATACATAAAGAAAATACTCAATAAGAATGGTTTCCCTAAGAAATTTACAGATACTTATATCGGCAAAACCCTTAATAGGATTTTTAAAACCACAGCCTCAAATCCACACTGTTCCTAAATATTCTATCTATTTCACCATTCCATACACAGGCCAACTCAGTTTCACCCTTAGAAACAAACTTCAGAAGCTTTTCAATGACTTCTATCCACAAATTTCTCTTAGACTAGTCTTCAAAACCCAGAGTTCAATTAAATAATTATTTAAAACAAAAGACACCATACCCACACACCTACAATCCCCAGTTGTTTATAAATTTACGTGCGCTAGCAGTAGGGCAGCATATATAGGTAAAACAAAAAGACATTTGATAACTCGCATCCATGAGCACTTGGGCAGTTCCGTCCGAACAGGCCAGTTAATCACACGACCACAGCATTCACCTCTCCGTAACCACGCTCACCAGCATGATCACCCGTTTTCCTCGTCTGATTTCTCAGTTCTTGGCAGGAGCAACTGTGAGACGGACCTCCTCATTATGGAAGCCTTGTATTAATATAAAGTAAAGCCATCCATTTGTGATATGGCTTCATGTGAATTGTTGTGTTTTTTACACAAAGCCTCGTCTAAATTAAGGTAATACGTACTCCCTGTATATTTTAGTTTTTTTTTCTGAATTTAGTTTTGTACGTAGGTATCTCGTCATTTTTATTGGTCTTAAATTATAATGCTCTTTTTTATTGATTTTGCGGAAGATATATTTTGGAATTATGTTACGTTTTTATTGTATATTACCTGTAATTTTTTAAAACGTTTTGTCTTTTCTAGGCTCTGATGATGGA